ATAAACTACTACTTAATACTTGTACTACTATTCCTATTTCGCAGGTTTTCACTTATCGCAGGTCTTCAGGGTACGGATCCCCCGTGATAAAAGAGGGACTACTGTATAACATATTTTCAGTTTTGTTGACTTTGTGCCAAAAGTTACTTTACATGAAATATTTGTGCTTAAAAGTTAAAACGAGACAGGAAATTTTAAAACGTCTAAAGATTTTAGTTTGAAAATGTCCTAAAAATGGAGGTTGTTGCTTTTTTTTTTTAATAGATTTTCTGATAAATCATGTTAATTTTGGGGATTTTATTACAGAATAGAAGCAGATATTTATTCAAGATCAACAATAGACGTTAATTTAACAAACAAATCATACAGTTTTACCTCAGACTGATTCTTTGAAGCCCACTGAAGGAAACTCCCCCGTCGTGGAAACGAGGGGGAGCAGGAAATACCGTCTTCCGTTGCCAGGTCAAAATCCAAGATGGCTGCCACAATATATTTATGTAAACCGGCCGCCCCCATCATTTATGGAAACTGCTTTTTGGTTTTAAATTACTTAAAAGAAAAGTTTCCTAAAATGATTTGGGTGGCCGAAGATTAATCTATGCTGGCCAGAGCCACCATTGGCCCCCCGCTGGCTCCACCCTTACATAGTGGAACTTCTTGCTACAAACATTTATTCAACTCTCGTCGACGGGGGACTTTGTTTGTTTGTTCTTCCTGTGAACTGACGTTTGTTGTTGTTCCGATCAGTTTTTGAGCGGGACCAACAAGCTGGCAGAGAAGGTCCGTCTGCGCCTGAAGTACGACGAGGCCAGGAGGAGGTGGGCTCAGTTTCACCTGAAACATTTACTTCAATCAGTCGTGACGATTGGTTTTATACACTTTAGTGTTTTATTTCAAAGTTTTGGCCACATCTTCAAATTTGTTTTTTTCAGGATCGCCAACATCGAGGTGCAGATCGCCAAACTGGACAGCGAGGCGTGGCCGGGGCTGCTGGACCCGGAGCGGGACCGCCTCATCCTGATCAACGAGAAGGAGGAGCTGCTGAAGGAGCTGCAGTACGCCGGGCCCCGGCAGCGCCTGGAGCCCAACGACGCCGAGAAACTGGAGAGCGAGAAGAAGCGTCTGGAGAGAGACCTGCAGGCGGCCCGAGACAACCAGAGCAAGGCTCTGACCGAGAGGTGAGGGGGCGGGGCTTCACTCCAGAACCAATCGGAGCCTTCGGTCCGTCTGTGGGCCGTAACTAGTTGTTGCACTGGATCTGAAGTTAGGCCGTGAGCTTCACCTGAACGTTAACGAGTCTCAGAGGAGGTGAGAGCAGCTCCGGAGCCTCCAGGTTTGTTCTGGACGACATCTTTTCTCTGCTGCTCCAAACCAACAGAACCTCGTTCAGATCGGGTCAGACTCACCTGAGCTCCGGTTCTTTGTGTCTCGTCTCCTGTTCATGAAACCTGAGAGGCTGCAGAGCCCAACACAAAGAGGACACACACA